CACTTTTAATAAACACAAATGACAATTTTGGACGTTTAATTACTATTGAGCTAATTTCCCCACAATATCTTCTAATAAAATTGTATACATATAAATAATACAAATAAAGAAAGTAAATAATATAAATAATAATAATTAAATTGAATAAATATACTAATGATATATATGTAAATATATCATATAAAATCAATATCTTTAATATAGTTAACTGATATACACAAATCAGCAACTATGCATCGGCGTAAATCGACTCGTAATACCAAAAATCGACATTTCATCGGATCATCATACAATATCGGAAATCACATGCGCAAAAATTCGCGTAACAGTAGACAAGAGGAATATTCTAATATGAAACAACCCTAAAGTATAGATTCGCTTAAATTTTCTTTCCGACATACTGTTAAACATACTTTCAAATTGGCGAGGGTTTATTATAAGATTAATAAAAATTTTTCATTTCTTATATAAAAATATGAGAATTTTGTTACCTCCTCTCACATGACTCAAAAATAATATAAGCATGACATCAATAAATTTCTAATTTTATAAAAAAAAAATTAACAAAATAAAAATCTGAAATAATTTAGATGATTAAGTAAGTATATATTACTTTTAATAATTCAATTTATTATTATTGTATTAATATTCATATTTAATACTTATTAAAGTTATGACGCAATTAAATTCTATTATAACACAAATAAACTAGAAATGGGAAAGGTTATAAAAAAGTACCTATTTCAGAGCAAAATAGGAGAGTTTGGAACTTCGCAAGTAGATTTAAAATCCTTATTCGATCATGTAAGGTAATGGAAAGTTTATTGTTCAAATATTCATGTTCTTGATAAAATGTTATTATATTAAAATTAATTGTTATTATTGTATTAATATATGATAAATTATATTATTTATTAACATGTATTTTTGTACATAACCAATATTTGTCCCACCCTTTTACTGGCAAAAAATAACGGTCTTCCAGGATTGGCGTGATCATAAGGAGCTTGCATAAATTCTATGTTAAAAAAATTTGTGCAAATATTCTCAACTCATTTTAACATCATATTTTGATAGTCATTGTATTAAAAAATAATAAATGGACTGTACAAAAAAAAAAAAAAAATTATTTACGCAAATAATTATAATGAGATTACATCTCAATACCAAATAAAAGCTTTCCCACGTATGCGATTTTACTATTTTAGTAGACAACAAAATTTGATGAGCCTCCTACTATAACATTCTAAATATGTAAGAAGTTATATGTGTCTTATTTCCTATTACACTTACTAAATTAAAAAGTTTCGGGAACTTTTGTACATAAAAGATGTATATTACCGTTAATATTCAGTAAATTATATATATTTGTTATATGTAAAATAAAACATCTAATTTTTTAAGCATTATCTTTGAAAATAAAGTTTGAAAAAAATTATATTTAAAGTTTACAAAAATCATATAAATATATGAATTAAAGTAAAAAACTGTAATAATATCAATTAAGAATTTCTATGAAAACTATACTATATAATATACAGAATATACAGACAAAAATCAAGCTTCTTTAGATCTCCATGACCTATTTTGCTAAACAATAAATTTAAACTAACTATAAATAAAAAAAGAATAAGATTAAATAATATTTATGTTTATAGGAGTATGTATTAAGACATTTATACCGTATTTTATGACATAATTTCTATGGAAAGCCGTCCTTGACAAAAGGTTGATGTCCAGACATCATGAAATATAATGTTTAGACATCATGATGGTATGTCTAGACATCATGTTTGATATATGTAGGATGATGTTTATACATTATTTAACATGATGTAAAAGACATCAACCGACATGATGTCTAGACATCATGCTGATCAAATTACCAAATATAGTATATTTAT